GCTATGCTTGTTAACTCTAATTTACACTGCTATGCTAGTACAATTGTTCTTTTTGTGTCCCTAGTTCTATATAGAACCACTTTCTTTATTAAAGTATCTATTCACTAAAGAACTATCTGTTTTTAAAAGTGAACTACTGCACGTGGGAGACAGGCATATTTGACTATGAGCAAATCTGAAACTGCTAATTTAAATGATAACTCGCTAGGCCAATCAGAAAACATGACCATCAAGTTCTCTCATACACTCTATCAAGCTCTTGCACACTCGCCATCAAGAATGCCTTAGAGTTTGATAGCAAGTGTGAGTGTTTGACAATGTGTGTGAGAGAGTTTGACAGTGAGTGTGAGAGGTTTAATAGTGAGTGTCAGAGGTAAGTTAAAATTTTGGCCTGTCTCATAAGTCTGTAAGAAGTTAAACTCAGTGTGTAAGACGTGTTCAGTCTGTAATAAGTTAAACGTACTGCACAAGATGTGTTCAGTCAGTCTGTAAGAAGTTAAGCTCAGTGTGTAAGATGTATTCAGTCAGTCTGTAAGAAGTTAAACTCAGCTTGTAAGATGTGTTGTCTGTAAGAAGTTAAACTCAGTGTGTAAGATGTATTCAGTCTGTAAGAAGTTAAACTCAGTGTGTAAGATGTATTCAGTCAGTCTGTAAGAAGTTAAACTCAGTGTGTAAGATGTGTTCAGTCTGTAAGAAGTTAAACTCAGTGTGTAAGATGTGTTCAGTCTCTAAGAGGTTAAACTCTGTGGAAGACATGAGTGTGTAAGACATCATCATTCAAAAATGTGTTCAGTCTGTAAGAAGATAATCTCAGTATGTAAGATGTGTTCAGTCGCAATTCAAAAACAAACACATATACCGTAAAACATTACAGTCAGTAATGTGGATAAATACAGTCTGTGTCCAGAGACAATAAGTCAGTAACTCACCATAGTTTCTCCAGTTTACAGTGTGGATCCTCCAGTAGATCAGACAGCAGCTTCAATCCAGACTCTCCTGGGTGATTGTAAGTCAGATCCAGTTCTCTCAGATGGGAGGGGTTTGATATCAGAGCTAAAGCCAGAGAAGAACAGCCTTCATCTGTAACCATACAGCCACACAATCTGCAGAAAGGAAAGAAAAAGATGGCATTTACATACTGCAAAACCCAGCTGCAGTACAGAATTGGCCTCCAGTCAGTTCATAACAAACAACTGATGGAGACAATGAGTGAAAAAAAAAGTAAAATCTTGTTTTTATTTTCAAATTAATCTATTTAAACGTGGGTTGCAAACCACAAAGATAGCCCTACTGAAGCTCACTTGCTGGATTTCTGACAGCATTAGCCCCAAGATGGCCAGAAAGTGAACCTGCAGTAAAGAGAAACAGAAAACTGACTCCAGCTCTCCTCACAGGAAAGCCTTTAAAAGAAAAACCTGCACACCGGCGTGTCTCAGTAGCCAATTAGGTCAAAGCTCCCCCTCTCAATTCCACCTGCAAAACACTCATGGCAAAACAAACTTAACAGCCCACAGGATCATCACACCCTCTCCCTCAAAAAAAGCACTGACATACCCCCACATAAAAAATAAACTTTATATACCACCACCCACTAATATGTGCAAAAAAAAGTAATTTTACATTTTACAATTTTTATTAATTTTAGACATGTCCTATCCAATACGTCGCTGCACTTCCCTGGCCCTGGGAAGTTTAAAGACAGCAAAAACAGGACATAACACCAAGTAACAGGTATAAAGATTAAGAGACTGGTATCTGTGACGATGTATCCGCTATCACATTGTCAGTACCTTTGACAAATATCAAGAACATAAGGCTGCAAGAAAAGGCACCAGCTCATCACAAACATGAGACTAGGAAGAGTGGGCGTTACCAGTAAAGGTGATGACACTTCACACTTTGCAGCACCACCCCCCCCCAGCCAGGTCGTCTCTCTGTGGTAGTGTGTTTAGGCCTGTATTGTGGCCTGTTGCCGTAAGCCCATGGCAGGAGGAATGAGGAATGTCTACCACACAGAGGGGTGGTAGGGAGGCACCTGATTGGTCTGATAATGTTTTCATTGTCAGAGTGCATGAACAGTTATATAAACATATAGACTCATCTTGTTTGGACAAATACTATCACAAGAAAGTGCCTGTTCATTCAGATAAAATATGGTCCCTAGATGAGAAGCTAAATATGTCATTCTGGCCAACAAGTAGAGAGCAAACTTGCAGAGCATGTCTTAATGCATGCTGCCTCCAAGGCAAAATAGGCCTGTGGAAGTATAAACGTAAGAAAATGTAAGTTTGATGCAAACTTTAAAATAAGTCTAGAACAACCTTGTCTGATACAGTGACTGGGACTAACTCCCTGGAAAGCTCAGGGTTGAGTTTCAGATACAAGTAAAGCTGTGTTTAAAAGCCCAAAGTAGCGCTGATCTCTGCCCTGTACTAGGGTCTGTGCAAGTTTTATGGTTGTCCTGTGTTGTCATGGTGGCATTAGGTGTCATCAATCAGCTCATGGGGCAAGGTCTTATAGGTTAATTTTTTTATGCCTGAATTGGTGCAAATATCTTGCAGATTGTGGGTAACTAAAGGTTGAACATGTCAACTTGACTGGGTTTTCCTTGTCTGAATACCAAGCAGTATAAAATTAATAATGCAGCATTGTCAAGTATTCAACACGTTGTGGAGGCTTTAGTTAGACAAAGGGTGTTGTTGTACAGGACAGCTGGTTTTACAGGCTCAGGAGTCAATTTTACTGACTGTTGTGCCACAGTATGTGCTATTTTATGACCTGATACGTTAGCACAGCTGCAGTCTTTTGTGGGGTTGTGCAATTACTGATAACCTTAAAGGTTGAGGTTTATGTGAAAAGCTATTTAACCACTATACGATCTAACTAACAGAAAATCAGAAAATTGAGTTTCAGCTAAATGATGATCAGCTATGAGCTTTTCATTCTCTTAAACCTGCATTATGCAGTGCCCTAGGTCTAGTGAACATGGAACTACTGTTCATACTGTATGTTTCAGCATCAATAGGGTTTGTGTCTAACTGTTTAACTCAAACTCATGGTGACAAAGAGAGGTCTATGTTTTGTTACTCTGTTAAAATAGACATGGTTATGCTTGGAATGTCACCTGCCTGAGAGCAACCCAGCCAAACTATTCATGTGGTTTTAGCTGTTGCTCCTATTTTTTATGGATCAAATTCTCACTGAAATGTCCACACTGAGTTTCTTCTTTGCTCTTAAAGGACAAGATTCTTTCAGTGACAGCACAAAGGTGGGGTAACAGGCTTGCTGGTTTTAACTGCCCCTAATTTAGTTATCAAAAAGGGCACCTGTAAATGTTATTTGCAGTCATTTGGTACAACTGGAATATGATTCAGCTGATCATGACTGTGAAATGCTGATTTCTAGTTCTGTGCAAAGTATGTATGCAAAACGCCTTTGCCAAATGCTAATGTTGTGGTAAACGCTTATGGTCCAGTATGACGACAGACAACATACAGGGTGGGCTGTCGCAAAGCAGTATATAGAAATAGCCATGTGTAGATTGCTGGATCACCTGTGTTCTTACCAAAGATTTTAAAAGCTAATGTCTTGTCATGGCAAATGCCACGATTACGGCTTGTTATGAAAGCTGCAGACATATGTTATGTCTGATAGTTCTACTGCAATACTGTCAGCCTTTATCTGAAACTGTTGCTCAGAAACAGGTGTCCAAACAGGAGGCATAAGAACTTCCTAAGGGGGGGGTCAACCTATTGTCCGAGGACGAAAGGTTAAGGTGCATATGACTCAGCCATTAGGGCCAAAAAATGAAAAGGTCCATATCAAGTCCTCCTTACCACATTCTTACACACAGCTCTAAAATGTTAAGGAAAAAATGGATACATGGGTACCACCACCTGATAGTGATGGCTAGCACAGGGATAGAATTGGTGACTCAAGGGCATACGACATGGTTTGTGTAAGAAGAAAATGATACTGCCACTGTGTCTATGTGTTTTGTTTTCAGAACATGCCAGAGCACACCTGAAACAGGACATGAGATGGGTTCCTGATTGGTGGTCAAAGAACTGACATCAAAGCCTATCTAGGTCCCCTGACTCTGCCCTGCAAGCTGTTTGGACACATCAAAGCGTGCTCCCTCTGTTCTGGAAGAGAAGATGACTACGACTGCAACAAGCTGCATGAATAAACTTTTTATTTATAACAAAAAGGGAACAAAGAATGATGAAACCTGTAGCTTTATAAGCATTCTGACAATAGCTTTTGCAGACATGATGGAGGATGTTTGTGACCACAACATGGTCTGTGCTCAGGCCATTCTGTGAGCACAAAATCATACCTTAGAAGGTGATGGTTGTTTGTCATTCCTTGCATCACTGCTATTATGTGATTCCAAGGTGTAATATTTCTGCACAAGCTTTATGTACAGATTAGTTCGCTTCTGAAACCATGAGAATAATAGCAAATGATGGTAGATAGTATAAGTGAAGATAACTGGCCATTGGCCATTATTTGATATCTAAAGTCAAATAGAGCTGTCTGTTATAATCCAAATGCTGATAGCTCCCAGATTGTTGGCTGGCAGTATACGAGTTGGCAATACTAATTACAATTTTATAGTACTAATTACAATTTTATAGCTATAAAAATAGTAGCTATTGTTACTTAATCTTGCCTCAAATTACTTTAAGTGTTTAATGACTAAACTACACCAGCATAGGTGTTCCTTATGAACTTGGAAACACTTTATATCCCAGTTTGCCTGTGCGTGAACTGAATGGAAAGAGATCTGTCTTTAGGATGTATAGAAAGGGGGAAATACTGGCCACATTTCTCTGTAAGATGAAAGGATATGTTGATTACACTGTGAGAACATACATTTTAGAGTATGTTCTAAGGGGGGAATGTAGAAATGTACTGCTCTGTAATGTGTTTAGTGCTGTGTTTTATGTCATTATATTCTGTATTGTGTGTGCCTGTACTGTGACTGTATTTAGAATATTCTTCTGTCTATTCTTGTTTAGCCCTACATGGTCATGTCTGTCACACCTGTCACTTATCATGTATAGGCTGAGCCTAATCTTGGCATCAGTCCAGCTATAAAACTGCATCAGCCCATTGTTTTACGGGCTGGCTAGGTGTCTGGTACCTGCGTGCAAACGAATAAACTTCACTTCTCTAGACATACGGCTGGTCCCCTGGTACAGTTAGGGTTTGGATTCTTCAAGATAAATAGGCATCCAGGAAATTACACAAAAATTAAAGTAAACCAAATTTTAATTGGAAGGAAACATTACTTGTGACCTCATCACAAAAATCAATGTCTGAGACATTTAAAACAACATCTAGATGAACCAGCGGCATTTTCGAAGCAAGAGCTCTTTGCTAATCAATGATGAAAAATGGAACTCTTTGGCCACCGACATTGGGGTAGTAAATAAAAAAAGAATAAGTTGCTAATTACTTCTTTCAAAATTAAATGTGATGTCATTATTTATTACTACCTGAAAAAGTGATCTCACTACACTTGTATGCTACTCTGTAACCTATTTCTGGCCCTCCCTCTAATTCACCCCGTATCATGACAGCTTTCAAACCTATAGTTTCACAGTTCAAATCTGCCTCAGAGTGACTGAGTTTCTGTTTTTAGCAGAGTGTTTTAAGTTTGTTCCTTTCACTTCTCTAATTTTCTTGAGTTCAGTTCTGCACTTGAGTTTCTGTTTGTCTACAGTAGGTGACGTGCCTTGTTGTGCATTGGTCTCTAGTATTAGAGGCCTAAGTTTGATTCTTACATAGGGCCTGTCAGCCCCACTACAGGAGCTCATTCTGCTGGCCTGAGCACTGAGACATTTAGCTTAAATAAAGTTCAAACACTGTTCAAATTCAAACACTGAATTTTCATTACTTTCTTTCACATTTTTCTCCTCCTTCTAATTTAATGTCCTATAAACATCCCATCTCTTTCTTCAGCCCAGGTGATTGAGGGGAAAGAGAACTGTTGTTCTCCTCCGATTTCGCCTATTTGTCAAACTAAATGCATTAGGATACTCATATTAAACGTAATATAAGACAAGGAGAACTTGAGGAAAAACAAAAAAGTTTTCAAAAGATCATTTTAAAAAGTAACTGTCCTATAAACTTAAATAACTGGTTGAGCCATCCTTTGCAAGAACAACTGTAACCAAACACTCAAGTCATTTGTTCCACTCTTTTTTGCTTTAATTTGGCGAAGTCTTTTGGGCATGAGGTGTCACAGCATCTCAATGAGTTTAAGTCAGGACTTTGACTAGGCCAATCAATAACTTTAATCTTGTTTGAGCAATCCAAAGATGGACTTACTCTTGTGCTTGGGATTATTGTCTTGCTGCATAACCAAATTATGCTTGAACTTTAGATCATCACTGATGACTAAATATTCTCCTGCAGTATCCTGTACTAAAGAGCAGAATTCATGTTTCCGTCAATTATGGCAAGTCACTGAGGCCATAAAGTAGCAAAGCACCCCCACATCATCACACTACCACGTCCATGTTTCACAGATGGTATGATTTTCTTATTGTGGAATGCTGACTTAGCTTTAAACCAGATGTAATGGCACTCCTGTTTTCCAAAATGTTCCACTTTTGACCTATTAATCCACAGAACACTATTTCAAAAGGCTTGGGGGTCATCAAGGCATTTTTGGCAAATGTGAGACAAGCCTATATGTTCATCAAGGTTAGCCATGTTTTTTGCCTTGCAGTTCTCCCACTGACATCATTTGTCTCCAGTCTCTTTCTAAAGGTGGAGTCTTTGTTCGCTGACATTACCTAAGACAAGTGAGGCCTGCAGTTTCTTAGATGTTTGTCTGGATTCTTTTGAAACTTCCTGGATGAGTTGTCATTTGGGGGAATTGTGGTAGGCAGACCACTTTCTAAGAAGACTGACCACAGTTCCAAGTTTTTTCTATTTGGAAATAATGGCACTCACTTTAGTTCACTGAAGTCCCTGTGCCTCCGACATGGCTTTGTAACCAGACTTATTTGACATCTTTTCTGGAATTTCTTTTAATCATGGCATAGGGTGCTGTTTATTGAGACATTTTGGCCTAAATGACATTGTTGGAGGAGTTATTTAAGTGGTATTTAGATTTCACTAGGGCTGGGAGTAATCAAGTCTGGGTGTGTCTATTTTAATTCATCCCAAATATCAAGTAAATATAATTAATTGGCTTAATGAGTAACTCAGGCAATTACTTTTTCACATAGAGCCAGTTGCTGTTGGATAACTGCTTTCCCTCAATAATTAAAATCAATTAAAATCAGAGTTTTACGTTTAATCATGTTCCCCTAGTTTTATGTTACTTTTTGTGTGATTATCTAAAACTATTTAGTGTCAAATATTCAAAATTGAGGAAATCAGAAAATACTTTTCCACAGCACTGTACATATGTAAATGTTTTGTGTTGATATTATACTGACAGCCAATACATATTAAACTAAATGCTTAAACAGAGCTGAGGTGCAACAAAGTAGTGAATTATAGCAAATTGAAAAATGGTGTTTCCTATAATGTTGAAAAGAAAGTAGCATGACTGCCTTTTTGAGTGTGCTGAATCTCAAACTGTGAGTTAACAGATCAGTTATTTATATTTTAGATCCTGCTCGCTTTTTAATAGAAATGTACTAATATCTCAGTTTTAGGGCAGCCACGATAATGTAAGTTAAAACAAATCAGTGAATTTACAGTGAATTGGAGAATATATCACCCAAGAGGTTTCTAATAATTTCCTTTTTTAGCTTGTTTTGCACAAATATGTTAAAGATTTACTACACAGCTTTATCAAAGAGTCTAATGGATTCTTTATATGGTGGTAATTTGTAATTTGTAAATGAGTGAGAGTTATGTTCAACTTCTGATCTTATTAGGTGTCACACATCCATCTGGCTCAGAGACCCAGAATCCTCTGGGAGATCCCCTGACTCCTAACCGTCCCTCGCACTCCAATCAGCTCTATCACTCACCGGAGTACTGATTCTGTTCACCTGTTTTGTGTGTCATATGATCCTCATTGTTTAGTTTATAAGCTCGGGCTTTAGCAGAGACAATTTGTGAGGTATTGTATCACTTTTGATCTACTGAGCGTTCTCTTGTTTGACTCCTGTTTTTGACCATTGTTGCCTGTATTCTCGACTCTTCCTTTTTCCCTGACCCTTTGGATTGTTTGCCTTACATGATATCACTGTTTATGACCTTTTTGCCTGTTTTCTTCAATCTGCCTTTTTGATTGACCCTTTTGGATTGTTCACCTGTTGTTATGTTTGTCTTTTTGTACTGGTTGTGTTTTCTGGATTTGACCCATGCTTTGGGTTTTGTTTTGACCACAGAACTGGGATTCTATCAGTAAAGCTTCCTTTGATCTTTTTAACCACGAGCATCTGACTCTTTCTTTGCATTTTAAATGTCTATTGTGTGCAACCATTATAAAGCAGAACATCAATGCAGCACAGTAATTAAAAAAAGTGGGCCAGTGACATGGAGAACACATCACTGGGGTTCTCACAACACCTCCTCAACAGTATTATGATTTGGGTGAGGATTAGTAGCAGGGTTAAGTTCATTACCAGAGTGAGGGTTAGTTTTAGGCTTTGGGATGATACTATGGTTAGGTTTAGGGTCAGGATTAGTTTTACGTAAATTAAGTGACACCAGCAAGTTTTCTGGAATGTATTCCAGTTCACTGGTGGACTGAAACTAAAAGCAGATTTTCTCAGTTCAGTAAAAACTGTAAGAACATGACAGGTGATCCAGTCACAAGAGCAATTAAAAGGGCTGAATATTTTCTGCATTTCCTGAGGAGCTGAAGAAACCCTGTTAAATGTAAATCATTTAGTGCCCCCGTTTATATTACATATATGCAATTAGGCTATGATTTTGTGAGAGTGACACAGTGGATTATCTTTGGTTAGCTGTTCCAAAATAAACTGATTTCCACAGTTTTCGTTTAAAGCTAAGTCAGCATTCCACAATAAGAAAATCATACCATCTGTGAAACATGGAGGTGGTAGTGTGATGATGTGGGGTTGCTTTGCTACTTTATGGCCTCAGTGACTTGCCATAATTGACGGAAACATGAATTCTGCTCTTTAGTACAGGATACTGCAGGAGAATATTTAGTCATCAGTGATGATCTAAAGTTCAAGCATAATTTGGTTATGCAGCAAGACAATAATCCCAAGCACAAGAGTAAGTCCATCTTTGGATTGCTCAAACAAGATTAAAGTTATTGATTGGCCTAGTCAAAGTCCTGACTTAAACTCATTGAGATGCTGTGACACCTCATGCCCAAAAAACTTGGCCGAATTAAAGCAAAAAAGAGTGGAACAAATGACTTGAGTGTTTGGTTACAGTTGTTCTTGCAAAGGATGGCTCAACCAGTTATTTCGTAACTAAACGGTAAAGATAAGCAGTGATACCAACTGCTGTCCCTTTGAGTCAGTAGGTTTCTTCCATTAGTTACAGCACTGACCCTCAGTGTCTCTACTGACCCCATGACCCTCAGTGTCTCTACTTAAACCATGTCAGACTGTGTGTTCATTGGACTGGTGACCAAGCTGTGCCTGTGCATGATTCTCTGCAAACATGTGAATAAAACTTGAGATGTGAAGATCCAGTCTCCTGATTCTTCCTGCTGAATTTCTAACACTATGTGCTAAGGCTATTGAAATTACAAATAAATTACAATTAAAATATTGTAAAACTATTTAAACAATGTGAGTGTAAATAGTCTGTGAATCATTTCCTTAGAACATGTACTTCTTTGACTTCTTTTAAAAGCAAAGCTATCATTGGGGTCTTCAAATCTTTTTCCTCTAATTTCAAGACTGAGACTATTACAAAACTTTGGAGATATTCCTGCTCTACTTTTACACTAAAGTATTTCACTATACAACTAACTTAAGAGTTGTTTCATGTAGCCTGTGAACATTACTTAGCCTATCACAGCACATGTTAAATACTAGCTATTACACTAATGGTTTTACACTGGCTAATTACAATGAGCTTAATAGCAAAAACAACTGACAAAAAAACTAAATCTAAAAATTTTGTGTTCATTTTTACTGGCGGTTAGTTTATTAAAACAGACTCAAAAAAAGATTTCTGAACTGAATGAGAGAGAACATGACAAGACAACTTACTACACATTCATTACAGGAATGAGGACAGAGAAACAGACAATAGAAAGAATTATGTTAATTTATTGATTTGTCAGTTCATTGATTCTTTCTTTAACTTTATTTCATTCAGGATTGAATTCACAGAAAACTCACCTGAGTGTCTCCAGTTTACAATATGAACTCTTCAGTCCAGCAGAGAGCAGCTCCACACCTGAATCCTGAAGGTTATTGTGACTCAGGTCTAGCTCTTTCAGGGACGAGTTTACAGATTGTAGAACTGATGATAGATTCTCACAGGATTTTGTGGTGAGGCCACACCCAGCTAGTCTGTAAAAATCAGAATAAATATATTATATGGCATAACCAGAGGAACTATAATATAATTACTTTACTTTCCATATTCTACTTTGTCCTTACTTTTTAGAAATACATGCACAAGATATTCATTGCTTGATTATTCATTCAATAATCCCTTTTAGAACAGAAAACACAGCAATTGTTTTTCATCTCTAAGTAGAAGTTCCTGTTAAGGACTACAAAAGGCCCACAAAATTCAACCAATATATGATTTAATTAAACTTGGAATATATCTTGCAAAAATACTGAAAGAAGCATTTCTGAGTAGATTAAGTGAAAATGAATATCATGGTTTTTCAGCAGCATGTTATACAGTTAGTGTGGTTTTATATCTCAAGGATGGCTTGAGAAAGAGATTTAGTAAAAGTCTAAAACCATGTGAAATGAATATCAAATATTCAGCACAAATCAGAACATACTAGTTCAGCTCTGCAGCCTGCCACTGGCTGCCACACAACCACAATGCATAAAAGAGCCAACCCCATGCTTAATAGATGGCAAAAAGTTATTTTATTTATTATTTATTTCCAAACATGGCTTTGATGATTGTAGCAAATTCAATTACATTTTACATTTACAGTTGTGTCTCTTTTACCTTCCTGATGACCCTTCCATGTACAGGATGTTTGTGCAACAACACTGCACAGAGGACTAGTATCACTATTTCCAGCCACCTCCACAGCTGGTAGCTTTATGAGAAACCTCCCATAATTATCAGCTTCTATCAGCTGTCCATCTAATCCTACCGAATTAGATATTATGACCAAGTGCTTAGAGGATACTTTTCGATCTACTCTAGATAATGTGGCTCCATTAAAAAGTAAAATAATAAGGCAGAAAAAGCTGCCCTGTGGTACAATGATCACACTCGAGCTTTAAAACAGACTGTCAGACAACTAGAGCGAAAATGGTCTGACTAAACTAGAAATGTTCCAGTCCACCTGGAGGGATTATAGCCTTATAGACTATAGAAGAGCATTTACTGCAGCATGCTCAGCCTCTCTCTCCTCTCTCATAGAAAACAATAAGAATAATTCTAGATTATTATTTAGCACAAATTCTAAATTGACTAAGAACCAAACAGCTACTGAACTCCAGATGCCATCAGCCTACAGCAGCAATGATTTTATTTATTTCTTTAGTAATAAAATTGAAATAATCAAGGCAAAAAAAAGTAAAAATGCACAGTTAAACTCTACAAACCTGCTGTCTTATAATGCCAGTCCAGATCTCAAGAATATTGTAAATACTGCAGAGCGACTGGAATCCTCTACCTTCAACAAACTGAACTAGTTGAAAAAAAAAGGATTCCCTCCTCAAAATCTTCTGCTTGCATATTAGATCCAATTCCTATAAGTTTATTCAACGGTTAGATTACAGGGTAGCATTTATTTTAGGAGCTGAAGCCTCCAACAACTATCACTATGGATCACACTGCCTGCTGGTAGAGAGTTATGTGTGAAGGACCCTGCACTGTTGCAGGAAAAGCATATAAAATATCCAAAACTTTGCCTGATGATCACATACAGCCTGCAGCTGCAAAGGTTCCAGGAGCTTTAATTCAAACACTGCAGCATCTATAGCACAAAATGCACATCAGAAAGCTGCATGATTCCCCAGCCTCACAGAACCTTTTACATGCTTTGTAATTCTTCACAAATTCACAATTCACAAAAAATAATTTCTCAGCCAAATAACTTCTACCCAAAATAATCACTGTTCAACAAATTTGATGGAACTTTATTATGGAGATTAGATGAAAATGAAGGAATGAACAAAAGTTTAAAAAACTATTTATGTTATACAGTCATATAACTATATAACTTATATTCTTTATTTCAGCAGTAACAAATAACTGAGACTGTTGTGTCCAAAAAATGTTTCAGTATCTGGTGTGATTTAGCAGCATATTCAGCATGATCCCACCTCAAAAACGACAACGGTATGAAAACTAGGGTATTACTTAGCGTGACCCCTCCCCTAACACTACAACGCTATAAAAACTAGAGCCATACTTAGCGTGACCCCTCCCCTAACACTATAACGCTATAAAAACTAGAGCCATACTTAGCATGACCCCTCCCCTAACACTATAACGCTATATAAACTAGAGCCATACTTAGAGTGACCCCTCCCCAACACTATAACGCTATATAAACTAGAGCCATACTTAGCGTGACCCCTCCCCTAACACTATAACAACACAAAAACTAGAGCCATACTTAGCGTGACCCCTCCCCTAACACTATAACACTATAAAAACTAGAGCCATACTTAGCTTGACCCCTCCCCTAACACTATAACGCTATAAAACTAGAGCCATACTTAGAGTGACCCCTCCCCTAACACTATAACAACATAAAAACTAGAGCCATACTTAGCGTGACCCCTCCCCTAACACTATAACGCTATAAAACTAGAGCCATACTTAGAGTGACCCCTCCCCTAACACTATAACAACATAAAAACTAGAGCCATACTTAGCGTGACCCCTCCCCTAACACTATAACAACATAAAAACTAGAGCCATACTTAGAGTGACCCCTCCCCTAACACTATAACAACATAAAAACTAGAGCCATACTTAGCGTGACCCCTCCCCTAACACTATAACAACATAAAAACTAGAGCCATACTTAGCGTGACCCCTCCCTTAACGCTATAACACTATAAAAACTAGAGTCATACTTAGTGTGACCCCTCCCCTAACACTATAAGGCTAGAAATACTAGAGCCACACTTCATAATATTATTCTTCATAATAACTAAAACTATAATAACTAAAATTTATTTTTAATCGTCTGAACTGAAGATCTAATGTGTTCAGCCCTGATCAATCATCAACAATCAAATATTAATCTGCTGTATTAATGTAGATGTAACACTCACCGAGCTTTTCTGCAGACAGTCAGAGCTGGGATCAGTCTCCTATAACCCTCCTCTGATGTGTTGTATTTCTTCAAGTCCAGCTCATCCAGAACCTCCTCTGAGGTCAGAAGCATGCAGGCTAGTGCTGAACACTGTCCAGGAGAGAGTTTCACCCCTGAGTGTCTCTCTGAGTTTAGATACTCCTGAATCTCTCTGGAGAGAGACGGGTCATTCATTTCAGACAGACAGAGGAACAGATTGATGGATCTCTCAGTGGAGATGATGGATCTCTCAGTGGAGATGATGGATCCCTCAGTGGAGATGGGATAATAATAATCTCCTTTGATTAATCTCTTGATGTGCTCTCTGGTTCTCTCTGAGCTGCTCTGTGTTGGGGTCAGTAGACCCTGTAGGCGTCTCTGATTAGAGTCCAGTGAGATGCCCAGCAGGAAACGGAGGAAAAGATCCAGGTGTCCATTCTGACTCTCTACAGCTTTATTCACTGCTCCCATCAGAACCTCATCTAGAGGAACATCCTCAGACCACTTACTGTACCATGGGTTAGAAAACCTCAGTGGAACATTCTTAGACCACTCACTGTGCTGTGGGTTAGAAAACCTCAGTGGAACATTCTTAGACCACTCACTGTGCTGTGGGTGAGAAAACCCCACTGGAACACTCTTAGACCACTCACTGTGCTGTGGGTGAGAAGACCCCACTGGAACACTCTTAGACCACTCACTGTGCTGTGGGAGAAAAAACCACGGTAGAATATTCTCAAACCTCTCTCTGTTTCGTGGGTTAAATATCTGCAGTTCCTTCATGTTTTTCCTCTCATAGCAGTGAAACACATAAACAGCAGCCAGGAACTCCTGAAAGCTCAGATGAACAAAGCAGTAGACTTTCCTCTGGTGAAGCATACATTCCTCCCTGAAGATCTCAGTGAAAATCCCAGAATACACTGAGGCCTCAGTGACATCAATGCTGCTCTCTCTCAGGTCCTCTTCATAGAACATCACATTGCCCTTCATCAGCTGTTTGAAAGCCAGTTCAGCCAGTTTCAGAAGAATGGTTCTGTTGGACTCCAGCAGGTTCTTTGGGTCTCTCTCATCTTTCTCCTCATACTTCTCATTCTTCATGTTTGTCTGAGTGATCAGGAAGTGTGAGTACATTTCAGTCAGAGTTTTAGGGATTTCTGTATGATTCTGTTTCATGATTTGCTGAAGAACAGTGGCTGAGATCCAGCAGAAGACTGGAATGTGGCACATGATGTGGAGGCTCCTCGCTGTCTTAATGTGGGAGATGATTCTCTTGGCTTGGTCTTCATCACTAATCCTCTTCCTGAAGTACTCCTCCTTCTGTGGGTCACTGAATCCCTGAATTTCCATCACACGCTTGATGTATTTAAGAGGGATCTGATTGGCTGCTGCTGGTCGGGAGGTTATCCAGATCAGAGCAGAGGGAAGCAGCTCTCCTTTGATGAGGTTTGTCATCAACACACCCACTGATGATGTCATGGTGATGTCAGATACTTTCTTACACTTTTTAAAGTTCAGTGGAATTCTACTTTCATCCAGGCCATCAAATATAAACACAGCTTTGAGCTGATCATAAATCTCTGGGTCCAGATCTTTGAGCTCAGGATGGAAGTCACACAGAAGTCCACGAAGACTGTATTGATCATCTTTAATCAGGTTCAGCTCCCGGAACGGAAGCACAAACATGAGCTCTACATCCTGATTGGCTTTTCCTTCAGCCCAGTCCAGAATGAACTTCTGGACAGAGACAGTTTTTCCAATTCCAGCGATGCCTTTAGTCAGAACACTTCTGAGCTCTGGCTCTTTTGGTCTGTTATCTTCTTTTCTTTCTTTGTGTCTGAGACTGTCAGCCTTCACAGCTCTAATGTTCCCTTCTTGTGTTTCTCCTTCAGGACCTTGTAGAGATTTAAAGATGTCTAAGCAGTTGATTGGATAGTCGTGTAAGCGTCTCCTGGATGTTTTCTCCATCCGTAGAACCTCATGTTCTTCATTCTCTCCTTCACTCTCTCCCTCTATGATGTAGAGCTGTGTGTAAATCCTGTTCAGGAGGGTTTTATTCTCTTTTGTTCTGATTCCCTCAAATAAGCTCTCGCACTTGTTCTTCATGCTGGTTTTGTGTCTCTCTAAGACTCTGTGAAGGACGTCATCCACTGGTTGGTGAATATCTGCCAGAGTGTTTGTCTGCAGTGTTGTTTGTGTGGAGTGCTGCCTAATCAGGACCAAAACACAGTAACACAAACATCATTAACATAAATACCCATAATAATCTTCTGATCATTTATTATAATAAATTTGAGATTTTTTATTCAGTAAAGGTTTCTTTTTGTTGACCTCAGGCTTCCAAGACAAACCTTATGGTAAATATATTGCACATTCGATTTTTCCAGTCAAAAATTAATAAGAACAAATATTCCTAGACAACTGTAATATAGCTTTGAAAGTCTTATTTAAATATTGTACATGGTTAATTCCTGTAGCTCTTCATGGTTCAAGTTTAATAAACATGCGCTGTTTTCTATATATTTGCACAAAAATCACACTTTTCACATTTTTCCAATGTCCACAAGTCAGCACTTGTGACATGATTGGAGTTTTATGTGGCAACATCACAAAATGTCATTACACATAATGTTAATGCCCTAAATTGTGTGTACGTGTTTCATAGGTGACCCCACTTACTCCTGTGGAATTATATGGAGTTATTTGTTTACTAATGATGGCTGATAACCTGCACTTCACTGGCTGCCTACACAATGACAGACATCAATAATTTACATTACCATAATAATCTTCTGATCATTTCTTGCATTTCATTTAAGCTACATCATTTAGTATGTTTCATTTTGGTTTACCTCAGGCTTCAGACTTAATGTTATGTAACAGAAAAATAAATAATACTTTATTTTAAGTAAACTTGCTTTAGTAGAATTTGCCAAAATTATTTCTAAAAGAGAATACAATCGAACCTATGTTTCTATGGGCGCACAGTGACACCCGCTGTATTTTATAAAGCTGCTTCCTACTATATCCGGTTCAGTCCAGTTTTGCCACTGAAGAGATACGGTAGGCTCAGACGTCTTCTCCTCTCTATTTAAGTATTTATGAGTTTTGCTGTTGTACTTTCAGGCAATAATCATTACGTTGAAGTAATACAGTATGTACGTTTTTAGTTTTTATTGGTATTGCTTCATTTGTGTTATTGAAAAGGTTGCTAAATATGAGCTGTAACTATTTTTCAACCACAGCTAGCTATGCTAGCTCTGTGCCCCATATGGTCTGAATGCTATGTTGAACTGATGTGATTTCTTTGGTGCCTTATAGCTGTTAGAGTGGAGAAGCACAATACTGACTAGCTGCTGTACTTCTTCTGATTATACTCAAACTGGTATGCATATTGTATTTTCTTTAGCTTTGTGGAGTATTCCACATTGTGTTGTATTCTTTTGTTTTCGCTGTTTTATTGTACAACCAAATAAGCTGAGCTGTTTAATACTGAAGAGCTGAGTCTATGCTGTAAAGATTCATATTGTAATTGCCGCAAGTTCAGTCCGGTTTTGCCACTGAAGAGATATGCTGTTAGAGTGGAGAAGCACAATACTGACTAGCTGCTGTACTTCCTCTGATTATACTCAAACAGACTCCAGCAGACGTGATTCCAGTAAAAGCTCAGAACCAACTTTTTTGTGCACTTGCCTTATTGAGGGACCAGAATAGTGGGGTTACAGTTACATGTTTCACTCTTGATTTCTCCTGTCAGTTTCTAATACTAACAAATATTCCTAGACAAGTGTAATATAGTATTAATAGTTAAAAATTTGATTTAAATATTGTACATTTGGAAATGAATGGTCATTCACGGTTACAAGGTTGACAAACACATGTTATTTCTTTACACTTACAGAAAATCTCACACTTTTCACATTTTCCAGTGTTCACAAATCAGCACATGAAATTTCATTAGAGCAACATGAGAAAATGGCATAGTCTTAATGTTAATACCTGAATTGAATGTAAGCATGTTTTCATAGATGACCCCAAGTACTCCAGTGGAATTATATGAGATTCATGTTATTACATGTAATAACTGTAATACATGATTACATTTGATAACATAACCTGCACTTCACTGGCTGCCTGTTACAACCAGGACCCTGAAAAAGTGGACAGACCAGGATGAGGAGGCTCTGCAGGCTGGACTAAAGAAGACACACTGGAACTTGCTATGTTCCTCATATAGAGAGAACACAGATGAATACTGACTGAAGTGTTCCCTCTATAACTACTCCATTTCCCATAAACCCTCAGTTTTAAAGGGCATCATCATGGGCTACTTGAACAGGCTAAGATCAGTTTGTGAGTTCAGACCATACCATGGTGGTGGTAGTATGAGGGGAGACTGAGTGAGGGAGGGGGAGAACTCTGAGAACTTGGGCTGGAGTTCTGGGCAGCTTCTGTTTGTAGCTAGAAGACCATCAAGACAAAAGAAGCGGTCATGGATTTCTGGCATGTGACACAGTGAACTCAGTCATAATCCACAGAAGATGTGCAGAAGGGTCAGTGCTCCAAGTACCTAGGGGCTACCTGAATGACCAATTGGACTGGACGGGTCTGTTAATCTGTGCAGGGATTGTTCTATCAGTCTGCTGTAGTAGAATTCTTTTCTCTGCTGGGGAAGCACTGATACTGTGGAGACAACAAGAACCTCAATAAACTTAGCAGGAGAGCCAGCATCGTCACAGGACTCTGGACTCAGAGGAGGCTGTGACAGAAGAGGATGACAGCAAATCTGCAGAACATTTTCAACAATTCCACCCTTCCAACCAGCCCATGGTAACCAAGAGCCCCTATAGACACCAGCCCTTTTCACTCTAGGAGTCACTATTGCCATTAGAGCTCATTTCACTGCTCTGTAAGGCTGCTTAACACCTTGCCTTAACAAGTGGAAAGGAAATTCTCTGAATTACGAGATTGTTAAAGAGCCTTAACATTAATACTGCTACAGGCAAGCTAAAGTTACTGTGAATGAATGTCACTAAGCTACACCAAAGTTAAGGAGGCTTTGGTGGTGCTCTGCTGGGTTGTGCTACCTTATCAAAATGTTTAACATAGCTCATATTTACAGACATAAATGCAATTAAAGAAAATTATTTACAGAAATAAATACAATTAAATAGATGAATTTTAAATAGATGAATGAATTTAGCTTTTTTTTTGCCAGCATTTTGCTTGAATGTTCCTGTTCCACCTTAAATGGTGCAGCAGTTGTGATTAGCCATCACAAACATTAGCAATTGGGACAAAATACTGACTTATTTTCGCCGTTTCACAGATCCAACAAGTTAGCGTTACTTAGCTGTAAAGGGGAAATAGAGAAACCTCCTCATATCAGGCCTCTCAACTCTCAATGCTTCTTTTTCACCAGCTGCTTGTTTGAATTTTCCCGTTCCACCTTAAGTGTCACAGATGATTCTAATGATAAAGCAGTCAAACAGTATAAGGTGATGTTATCAGTGGTCAGTCTATGTCTGGGTGATTTAACATGAACGTTTTCCACTCAGCACTGGATTCACCTCAGATGGAACTCAGCCTACAGCTCACACACTCTAACACTGTAAACAGTAATTAACTGGCTGACCTTCTCACTTTGATTAACTGGGGTGGCCAGAAAGGCGGTCAAGCCTCGCTACAGTGGCACTGATCCCCCTTTGGGTTCGCTCCTGATCAATGAACTATAAATGACTGCAAATGAAAATAAAAGTAAATAAAATGTAAAATTACATAGTTTATCAAAATAACAATAAAACTTCACCATATTGCCCACCGATAGTCACATTATTCCCATTTGACATCTGCAGTTACTATAGCATGAGTTTCCTTTCTATTAACAGCTCCAGTGGATCTTTATAACCTTTACCTTTAAAACAGAGTGATAAAGATTGAATTGTTCTTGATGCTATTATCTAAAATTAGTCTTCATTTTAAAAGGTGTTTTAATAAAAAACCTTCTAGTAAATCTAAAAATAAACCACCCACCTGAGTAAATAGTACACAGTACATAGTACATACAATGAGAAGGTAAATAAAAGTCCTTAATGTTTAACTTTTGTGGGTCACAGGACTGAATGACCTTCACTCTTCTTACACACAGATCTGGACACTGGAGAAACGGCTCTCTGGGTTTCAGTCCTGTTGAAACCAAAACTCTAACCTTTACAAACTGATCTACAGCCCAGAGCCCAGAAACATGATTCACTGTCAGAACTGCTGTTTACTGGTAGCAGTTATTTACCCTGAGTCAGAGGTTCCTCTCCCTCCACTGGACTGTGCTGGTAACATCATGGACTGGTCACTCTTCATAGACACACAGCTGGGTTCTGCTCCTCCTCTGCTGAAATTAATAGGTTTCCCCATGGACTGGTCAGTCCTTATAGACACACAGCTGGGTTCTCCTCCTCCACTGCTGAAATTAATAGGTTTCCCCATGGACTGGTCACTCTTCATAGACACACAGCTGGGTTCTCCTCCTCCACCGCTAAAATTAATAGGTTTCCCCATGGACTGGTCACTCCTCATAGGCACACAGCTGGGTTCTCCTCCTCTTCTGAATTCAGGAGGGTTCTCCATGGACGTGTCACTCTTCATAGACACACAATTGGGTTCTGGAGATCCTGCACGCTTCACTCTGAGAAAAGTTCATCCACAGTGATATTAAAGTGCTGAGTAATTATGTTCTTCACTAAGACTCATTTATTCTGATCATAAGTCACAATTTCCCCTTTCTGTTTAATCAGGTTAAGAGCTGATATAAAGTTACTCACTTTGAATCAGAGGTTCTTCCTCCACTGCTGGAGTGATGAAGCTCCATCACTGAGGTTTTACTCTCCACACACAGCTGGACACTGGAGATGCTGCTCTCTGTGAACAGATCATTAATGTAGCATGGAATAACATCTGGTTAATAAATATAACTATGACAGATGAAACTAAAATATTATGATATGGACAACTTATTGTTTTGGGTAGTGGAGATTTTTAATAAAAATATTGCAGTGCTATTTAGTACTAGAGAGGTGGTAAAGCAGACACAGGAAACTGGCTCTAGACAAGCTGGTATTGGAGTTCTGTGACTGCTTACAGTGGAACAACTTCCTTTCAGTTTGTTGGGGGATCTGTTGGAAATGCTGATTGTGGTGTTATTCCAGACTGTAGGATAAATGGGTTTGTTTTGCAGTTTGACACAAAAAGAATAAATGTTATCTGGAAATCAGTTCAAGAAGTAAATGATATGAGCTGAACGCTTTTCCTCTTTCCTCAGGCATCAGAAAGAGGACAGGTTTTGATTGATGTAGAATTGCAGGAATGTTTATATATGGTATGTTTTACTTCAGAACAAATATTCTTAAAACCATATTATTTATTATTGTTAAATTTTACTGAGTAACTTGCAGAATATCTAGTATATTAATGTAATCATTGAAGATCAAATTACAAACTTCTGTTACTTATTATATATTAAACAATGGCTGTGTCTCTAAACCTAATGATCTCTCTACATAGACAGCATTTTACGTCACAATATGCGCTCCTGACAACAAGGCTGTCCCAATTCTTAGATACCTCAAATATACTGCCTACTAAGGTCTCTCATTTTGGCTGAATATCGAGAGAGCATCGGCCGCTGAGGCAATTCCGCCATGCACAACTCGTCACAACTTTTGTTTGAAGATAGCGGGCAGAAGTGTCTTGCCAAGCAGCGAAGTCTTCATCAAATGTAAGTTATTCTGACTTTCTGTGTTATTTTATCTGTTTTCTTGTCATAAAGGTGCACAAATACCCTACATTTTGCAGTTTAGGTCCATCAGTGACCATTTTCCAGTTTTTTAGAACACAAATCCATTAGCATGCATGCTAGCGGATTTTGAAGCCTTAGGCTTATTTTTTTGGATAGCCAGCTGGATAACAAACTTGCTGGCCAATGACCAAGTAGCTTAACCAGTGATAGGTTTTATCAAGCGTTAGCTAATGACAAGATAGCACGATCTAATCGTTGATCCAGTTGTTCATGTCTTGAATTATTTGGCAGAATAATGAAGGTTAAATGGTGCTTTTCTGGAAACTGTTAGATGGCCAGCTATTTAGTTCTCTGTGTTCGCATACACAATCGTTTCCCCTTTTTCATGGACCAGATCAGCATTCAAAGCATTCATAAAGGCTCGTATAGAGAGTGAAGCTGTATACTGAGGAGAAAAACTCTGCTTTGTCAGCTGGGAAGTAAGAAAGTTAGTGTTGACCAGTAAAATCGGAAAGGATCATGCTGCCTGCTGGTAGAGAGTTCTGTGTGAAGGATCTTTCATCAGGCTCTGATCCAGGAAAGCTTATAAAAATGTTCAAATCTTTGCCTGATGATCACATACAGCCTACAGTTGCACAAATGGGCTTCCAGTTCCTGAAACATTGTGCATTAAGTTCTCACCATGTGGTGGTGGTGTGTTAGCATTGCTGCCTGATCCACTTGTACCAGCGCAACACACACTAACACACCACCACCACATCAGTGTTACTGCAGTGCTGAGAATGATCCACCACCCAAATAAGACCTACTGTGTGAGGGTCCATGGGGGTCCTGACCACTGAAGAACATGGTAAAAGAGGGCTAACAAAGTATGCAGAGAAACAGATGGACTACAGTCTGTAATTGTAGAACTACAAAGTGCACCTATATAGTAAGTGGAGCTGATAAAATGGAGAAAGACTGTAAATATAAGGATGTGGTCATAATGAAGTGGCTGGTCCATGTGTATGAATATGACTATGAATATTTATGTAATTTCATTGTAAATTAATTAATTATTAAATAACTACTAATTACTGTAATGCACATAGCTCTATTAAAAGTTTGATTGCTAGTGAATGACTGTATTTAACTGTATATTTATTTATTAAATTGTGTAGTTCTGTATATAATTGTTCTGTTTGTTAATGGAAGTTATCTTGTGTGTGGTGTATGTAGATTTATTTAGTTTGATTTTAATTTTTTCTTATTTAAAAATTCAAAAACAAGTAAAACACTGTTTTTTAAAAAATCATTATTTCTCAAACTGGCAGCTAGGTGATTAATGAACCTTGTATGATGTGAAGAAAGGGTTTACTTTTCACCCTCAGCTTAGAGAAAAGTTTACCTTTGTAAATTTTAACTGTTCAGTAGAATCATGTAGTGCTCGATTATTACATTTCAGCATCTGACCATAACTCCTGTCTATTCTGCTGTTTATTTCAGAACAAATTGAACAATTAAAATTGCTATATAAACCGCCAGAGCAGGATCTATGGTGGTAAAACACAGAAGTGATTCTGATGGCTGAGGTCAGTAAACACTGGATGTGTGCTGTGGGCGGGAACAAGCGGTGATGTCATCACTGTGTAACTACAGCGTCTCATTTATCTGTCTTATAAGGATAGACGACCAGTGGAACGCTGCCAACTTAAACAGCTGCCTATGTAGACAGCGTCTACTTAGAGAGTTCACTAGGTTTTGGGACACACCCATTATGTAGTTAACAAAAAAAACATTATTATATCATTTACTACTTAAATCTTGCTTCTAATTTTTTGAAAAAAATGCTTGTTTTAACTTGTGCAGTTACTAGACATTTTATTACGTTCATCTACAGTAGGACAAGAGATTTCTGTTTTCTGTATTTGCTTTTTTTCTTTTTTTGCTGTATAATTTTTCTACTTTGAAAATGTTTATAATGGAATTATGCAACTACATTCTAGATGTTTTTGCTTTTTATTTTGTTTGAGGGATTCCACACTGGTGAAAACTGATGTATGCAAAACAAAGCATTAAAATCAGTGTCAGTTAAAAGTCTGTGTATAAACTACACAGGTTACTACCACCATAGGTTTACCCAGTTTTGGAAAAAAAGACAAAATGAGCTTCTCTTTCTCAGGCATACTCCCAGCCAATCAAGCACAGTGTTGTAGTGTTGATTCATGTAGCTTCATCTACAAGAAAGAATGAGCAAATAAGTCACCCACAACTCAACTACAGCACAAATGAACAAGTCATCCACAGCTCAACTACAGCACAAGCGAACAAATGAGTCACCCACAGTTCAACTACAGCACAAATGAACGAGTCACCCACAGCTCAACTACAGCATGAACAAACAAACAAGTCATTCACGGCTCAACTACAGTACAAACAAACGAGTCACCCACAGCTCAACTACAGCATGAACAAACAAACGAGTCATCCACAGCTCAACTACAGCACAAACAAACAAACGAGTCATGCATGAACGAAATAACGAGTCATCCACAGCTCAACTACAGCACGAATGAACAAGCGAGTCACCCACAGCTCAACTACAGCACAAACAAGTCACTCACAGCTCAACTACAGCATCAACAAACAAACGAGTCATCCACAGCTCAACTATAACACGAACAAACAAGTCATCCACAGCTCAACTACAGCATGAACAAACAAATGAGTCATGCAGGAACGGACTAACAAGTCATCCACAGCTCAACTACAGCACGAATGAACAAACGAGTCACCCACAGCTCAACTACAGCACAAACAAGTCACCTACAGCTCAACTACAGCACACAGTCATCCACAGCTCAACTACGGCACGAACGAACAAACAAGTCACCCACAGCTCAAATACAGCACAAACAAATGAGTCACCTACAGCTCAACTACAGCACAAACAAATGAGTCACCTACAGCTCAACTACAGCACAAACGAGTCACCCACAGCTCAACTACAGCACAAACAAACAAACGAGTCATCCACACCTCCACTATAGCACGAATAAACAAACGAGTCACCCACAGCTCAACTACAGCACAAACAAACAAACGAGTCATCCACACCTCCACTACAGCACGAACAAACAAACGAGTCATCCACAGCTCAACTACAGCACGAACAAACAAACGAGTCATCCACACCTCAACTACAGCACGAATGAACAAACGAGTCACCCACAGCTCAACTACAGCACAAACGAGTCACCCACAGCTCAGCTACAGCATCAACAAACAAACAAGTCATTTGCAGCTCAACTACAGCACAAACAAACGAGTCACCCACAGCTCAACTACAGCACAAACAAACAAACGAGTCATGCACGAACGAACTAACGAGTCATCCACAGCTCAACTACAGCATGAACAAACAAACGAGTCATGCACGAACAAACTAACGAGTCATCCACAGCTCAACTACAGCACGAATGAACAAACGAGTCACCCACAGCTCAACTACAGCACGAATGAACAAACGAGTCACCCACAGCTCAACTACAGCACAAACAAGTCACCTACAGCTCAACTACAGCACACAGTCATCCACAGCTCAACTACAGCACGAACGAACAAACGAGTCACACACAGCTCAAATACAGCACAAACAAATGAGTCACCTACAGCTCAACTACAGCACACAGTCATCCACAGCTCAACTACAGCACGAACGAACAAACGAGTCACACACAGCTCAAATACAGCACAAACAAATGAGTCACCTACAGCTCAACTACAGCACAAACGAGTCACCCACAGCTCAACTACAGCACAAACGAGTCATTCACAGCTCAACTACAGCACAAACAAACAACCGGGTCACCCACAGCTCAACTACAGCACGAACAAACAAACGAGTCACCCACAACTCAACTACAGCACGAACAAACAAACGAGTCACACACGGCTCAAATAAAGCACAAACGAACGAGTCACTCAGCTGTCACCCTTCCAGAATAAAAGTCTTTAAGAAGCTCATTCTGAATTATTAATAACCAAAATGCGATGATTTACATAAACTAAAGATTCTCCTCACAGAAAGAAGCTCTGATGCTCTAAAAGCTCCAACATTTCTCTGGGTTTATTGGCTACCTGAGCATTAGCTTAGCTTAGCTTCAGTTATCTGACTTTATCAAACAGACCCTTTCAGCAGAACCTAAAACAGAACCCAGCAGCTGTTCCTCTCAGATTAGTGTGGTTCTCATTGTTCTCCTCAGTCAACTGTGAGTGTTGATCTTCAGTAATTACCTCTGAGCTTTTCTCTCTCTGTAGTGTAGTGGGTAACACCTCTGCCTTCTACGCTGTAGACTGGGGTTTAATCCCTGCCTGGGTAAACACCCT